GTAGCTGTATAGTCGTGGTCTATTAACTAGGCAAAGTATAGACGTGGCACTCGCCATAGTTTCACAGATATGTATTTAGGAAAATATGAGTTCACAATAAAATAAAATAAAAAAAATGATCATCGAGTAAAAACTTGCTTGAAAACAGAATATTTTCACATTTCGTGTAGGTAACAATTATTCTGTATCTGAAAATCTTCTGATGGGAAGAAATGCGGAAAAAATATATAATGACATATTTTTATATTATTATCTATTTCAGAGATTTTCTACGACTTTTTTTTTATTTAAAGCAAGTTTAATTCTCTGTAAATAACTGGATTCGGCATAAAATTATGCTATAGTACACTGTCTTTATTTAAAGCACACTGCGGTGTTGCTAATCTATTTCTTATTTACTAAAACTTTGGTTAAAAACATTCTATACGAAAAGTGGTAAAAAACTAGAGTGAACATAACTTTATTAATACTTCGCTATGTTTTCTTAAACATGAAGGATATCGGAATAAATTCGTGTAGAAAAATTTACTTTATCGTATACAGGATATTTTTTATGGCGTCACCAAAATCGTAATATTTAAAAAATGTTGTATCTCATTTTTTTTAAATGTAACACCTTGTATATTATTTTTCTTTCAGATGTAGAATTAAAAGGTGAACATTTTTTGACAAGACAAGACAGACAAAGATCATATTAGGTGGCATTGAAAAAAATTTATTGTTGAAAGAACCATATGTAATATAATACTGCGAATATCTGCGACAGCGGTAAAAATTTAGAAACACTTTAAATTAATAAAAAAAATGTTCACTTTTTAATTCTGCATCTGACAGAAAAATAATATACAGAATGTCGCATTTAAAAAAGTTGAGATATACCATTTTAAATATTGCGATTTTGGTGACGCCATAAAAAATACCCAATATAGAATAATGTATATGGAATGATGTAAAATAATAAAAAAAATCAAACTAACTTTACCATAACTTTTTTTGTGACACCCTGTATATAACAAAATATTTTAGGATACACCTCTTTATAAACCTTGAAACATATGAATAAAACTTTTTTCACATCTTCGACAACGACGACAATATTGGACTTCCTCGCACTAATGGGCCACCCTGTATATTTACGGTGGTTTAAAGCTAGGTGTGGCACTTTTCTTCCCTCAAATATAAACTCAATATTTTGTCTATAATATTTTGAAAATATTGTTATATATTATGACCACTTATAATAAAAAATAAATAAAAAAAACATGAAAAAATACAGTCCACTAAATTTATAAGAGATTATGCTATTATAAAATTCTTTCAATTAAAAAATATGAATAATTTGCGGAGACTTTAGATGTACAAAATATTTACTCTAAAATTGTTTCAAAAACCAATTTATATAAATTACCTCGTAAATTATTATTGAAATGAAAATTTTATGGAAAATCCCCTGACCAAAAAATATTTTCATGTGCATATTTGAGACAACCTGTATATCTAAAAAACTATTTTTAAAATCTGCACATATGCTAAAAAAAATAATAACATTTAATTAATTACATAATATCTCAGCTTCTAAAATAAACAAATATAATTAAATGTTAATTGATAATTACTATCAGCTTGCCGATTTACATCCGATGGAAATCTAAAAAGACTCAAAGAACAATTTTTTTGAATTATTTCCACAATTAATAGCAGCGCACAGTAAGGCACTCATGTCTTGTCAATCCGTCCCTGTGCTCGGACGCAACGCTCGAACCTCACAGCTCGACGGACCGAATTCAACTGAAACGCTTGCAACCTGCCGATATTCGACAGCTTGCAAAAACTGGCAGAAAATATTTGCGAGAGTGCAACTACTCTTTTCCTTAAACTATGGTAAAAAGCTGATTTTCTGGCAGTATGCAAACGAGCAAAAAAGTCGACAGACTTGTTTATCCGTTAAGTTATTTAATATAACATAAACAAAATGGAAATACCGATACCGATTACTATTGCCGGCCGCCTCGCTTTCGTTTAAAACTATAAACGGTGATGGTACATTTTAGGTACGTCGTCAATCTTGAAGTTATTGATGTAAATTTGATATTAATATATTCTACAATTAATGTTTTAACGTTTTAAGTACGGATCGTACGAATACTCGGCTAAATCTTTGAGATTTGAGATCACTGCAATAATTATTTATTTTTTGAGGTTAGAAAAACAATTATTCTTAAATAAACAAAACAAACCCGCGACCTTGCAACCCGGCATGTAACCGATAATAAATGCAACTTGACTGAATACTGGATAAATGAATCAAACCCAAACTTGTTTGTCTCAAATCTAAAAAAAAGTAGATATAAATAAACACGTGAGTATTACGCCTTAACTGGGAACGGGGCAACGGGGACGGAGCGACAAGACTTGTTATTGTTATTGAAACTGTGATCACATCACGCTTAAAAATCACTGATATTAAAAAATCACAGTAACAAATATCAGTGTGATTAAAAAATCACGATATCGCTCATCTCTAAACGCTTGCAACCTGCCGATATTCGACAGCTTGCAAAAACTGGCAGAAAATATTTGCGAGAGTGCAACTACTCTTTTCCTTAAACTATGGTAAAAAGCTGATTTTTGGAAAACGGATTGACTTTAGGGTGTCCATAAGAAGGGATTTTTCGAAACTCGAATTCTAAGGGGGTGAAACCACCCCTCAAATATTAGAATATTTTCTATTTAAAAACCGGGAGTTTTTCGGAAAAACTCTTAAACACGTATATTTTATTTTGTTGTTTTACATATTTTAAGATTAAGGGGTGTAGAGGTTCGATAAGGAGGGGTTTCTCGAATCTCAAATTCCAAGAGGGTGAAAACGCCCCTCAAATATTACAATATTTGTTATTTAAAATACCGTCGTTTCCGAAAAAAACGCTTAAACACGTATTTTTTATTTTGTTTTTTTACATTTAGTTTAGATTATTTTTAAAGATGTACCAAATTTTTAAAGAGTACAGATACTAATATTGTCGATATAGTTTGTTTGTTTCATTAAAAATTAAAAAGAAACTGTTTAAATATTTGTTAAGGAGGACCAATTAATATGATTCCAGTATTCAAACTAGATTAATTGACTGTTTGCGTTGATTAATAATAATTACTCCAAATACTAAAAAACTGAATTTTGTATGTGTATTAGACAGTGTGGTAAAAAGTAACACCTTAAAAATGATATTTCATTTTTTGACAAATGCTTATTTATAACAACAGAGATATTCATTTTCATAACTTATTATTATATTGATTTCTGATTCAAATCCACATTTATTTAGAATAATTTATTAACGAACATAATTAAGTATGTAATTAATTAGTATTTGAGCGGAAATAATAGTGGTATATTTAATTAATGGTATACTCTTTTATAAGGATTTAAATAGTTTTCTTTTTGCATATAAATGGGCTAGTAATATTTTCATTTTGCTAAAAACGATAATATTACTAGCCTGTACATCTTGTACCTTTGTTGCTTTAAAAACAATCTAAACTGTCAATAGTCCATGGGTATATTGATAAATGAGGTCTGAATTATCAGAAAATGCATTTTATACGAAAACTTGAACGGATAGGTAAAAGTGGTACATCGTAATACAATTTGATTGTATCAAAAATTAAATTGTGCATCTGATTCTCCTAAAATATATAGGGCGTTCCATTTAAATTAAACAAGTTATTGCCGTTTAAAGCTAGAAATAATTTAAAATACATTTTTAGACACTTTGTATGAGGTAGTATTATTTTTATTATTACAACCCAATAACTGATCAATAAATAGACTTCAATAAATATTTAGTATTAAAAACTTTGATACCTTTGGTGAAATAACGCCTTAAAATTTTGACTGCAATTTCACAAAATTGAAAATATTTCAAAAACGGTAAGGTTTAAGTGTGATAAACTTTAATCAAATTTACCTTTATTTTAATCGTAGAAACTAAAAATGTAATAATATACAGGGTGTTCTATTTAAAAAAATACAACTTTGATATTTTTTATTTATTTCGGACACTCTGTATTTTGTAAAAATATTTTTAAATTGTAGCTCTAATAGTCCTGCAACGAACCCAAAACTTACAATTTGTAAAAATCTAATCGTTTAGCTACAATACTCCGTGTCGTATATGGTGAACAACCCTGTATATTTTCGGCGTTGAAATTGATCGTGATGTTTGAAAAAAAATAGCATATTCTATTCGGAGCAGGTTAGTCTTTCGGGAAAACGCTTGGACACGCATAATTTATTGTTTTTTTAAATAATATTATGACATTTTTTAAAAAATCATACAGGGTGTTCCAAAAAGTTGGATAATTGATTAACCACGATTCTGTTTAAACTGCTTGACGTAAAAAGCTTATTTCTGGCTAACGGATTTTTCGAAAATCAAATTCCAACGAGATGAAACTACCCCTCATATTACCAAGTTATATAATAATATCGCCATATTGTTTTTTCTCATGCTGACATAAATGTGAGAAAATTTTATCCAGTTTGTATGTTAATGGAAATTCTTGCTTTGCTTTATCATCACCATTACAAATGATTAATTCGACGCGAACGAAGTCGCGGGTACACGCTAGTTAATAAATAAAATTCTGTTTGGTATCAGTATTGGCTGATTAATAGTAGAGGCAAGTTGTAGGTATACATATTTAATATTTGTTTACTAATGTTTATTTCACATATTGCATAAAATTACTGATAAAATAACGCAAAGATTGAAATAAAACAAATTATTTGATAAACGCGTATTTATTTATTCAGAAAATCCAAACTCTTATATATCATCATTAGTAATCAATTTTATGATATTTTTTGAACTTTTGAATAAATATTTAAATTTTAATTTTAAACAATGGTAAAAGTCATAATAAAGCAATATAGAAAGTTACAAAAATATTTCAATAATTCTACTAATAAGATTTGTAAAATAATATTGTTATTTTTTTAGCGGCTTTTTATACGTTGACTCAAAATGGACCCGGAGAATTTGGAAGAACACAGAAAAAAATATAAACCATTGGAGAATGTTCTACAGACTATCAACTCCAAGTATATCGCATTGTCGGAGCAGGCTGTTAAAAAGAATAACAACATTCTTCAACAGGTATGTATTATTAAATAGTTTATGTCTTATACACGTAGAATCTATGTATGTAGAACAAACAGGTTTATCTGATATCTCTGTTTTACCACAGCTTAAGTAAAAACCAGCTCGGACAGTGTAGCGTGCCGCTTTGATCTTTTTACGCTCGGATTTGCGATTCGAAAGAGGGGGAACACTGGAGCGGCGAGCGCTCTCGCCAAAACCAATAGCCGCCTAAGCGCCAGTCAGCCCAGAGATGTATTCAAAAAAAAAATTTACACGTGACGTAAAAAATTATTCGACTGGTGCTAGAACATAATTTAGATACACGTGTTTTAAATTGTTGACTTTAAATAAATATGCATTCTCAAAGAAAAACATTTAAAAAACAAATTAATTAATTTATTTCTAGAAATAACAGCAAAATGAAATAGGTACATTGATTACTTATAGTTATTTACGAATGTTTCTAAATTAGGAGCTTTCGGTTTTTGTTTGCTACATTTAAGTTCTTATTAATATTCTTTAAGGTATAATAAATTCTAACTTATGCGTATAAATTTAACAAAAAATACATTATAGGAAAATTTTGATTGATGGTTGAATTTAATTGTCTGAAATAATTTAACGAATGTACATAATATATTTTCATTTAAGGAAAGTTCTTCAAAATTGTTCTGAAAAATTTTATAAAAAAAACTTTTTTAAAAACAAGTTTTTATTTAAATACACTAAAAAGAATAAAATAAACTTTTTCTTTAGAACTTTTATTATGAACTTATAACGTCATTACACAATTTTAATATTATATAAAAGCTTGTCGCGAGATTTGAGTGTACATTTGCACTCATAAAAATCTGGTACGACAACTTTATCTTGTAATTCCTGGTCTAGTGGTCTATCATAACAGAAACTTTGAGAATGAGACAGGGTAGACACAGGTTTTAGTTAATTTACTTGTTTATCGATGTAGAGAAATCTCGCGACAAGCTTTTATATATCTAATATTAAAATTGTGTAATGACGTTCTAAGTTTATAATAAAAGTTTTAAAGAAAAAGAGTTTATTTTATTCTTTTTAGTGTATTTAAATAAAAGCTTGTTTTTAAAAAAGGTTTTTTTATAAAATTTATCATCTACTTTTAGTTATGCTGGTTTCTCAGTGCCACACATTTAAACTCAATTTTTTTCTTAAATAACTTTCTATGGGCATCCTAATAATATGTATATCGATTTTCATTAAAAAAGGAGAACTTAAAAAAAACGACAGCTGTCAAATTTGACAGTTCAAATATGAGACAAATAAAATGAAAACCGACTATGGGGAAGGGGGCATCCAATATATCGATTTTTATCAAAATCGGACAAATTTGAAATTTTTTTGACAGCTGTCAAGTTTGACAGCTCAAAATTTTTTTCTTTCATTTTAGCCCATGGCCATCATCAATTTTTATCCAAATCGGACAACTTTGAAATTTTTTTGACAGCTCAAAATTTTTTTCTTTCATTTTCGCCCATGGCCGTCCTATATATCAATTTTTATCAAAATCGGACAACTTTGAAATTTTTTTGACAGCTGTCAAATTTGACAGCTCAACATTTTTTTCTTTCATTTTAGCCCATGGCCATCCTATATATCAATTTTTATGAAAATCGGTTGACTTTGAAATTTTGACATGTCTTTAAACTGTCATTTTTTCAAGATGGCCGTCCATATATTTTTTTCATATGTATATACCCACAATATACCTATACAGGTTGTTAAATTGTTCATTACTCGCGGCAAGAGTTTTATGGTTGAAATAACCTCGGCCCGCTCGTCGATAGACGACGCGACGGGACGAGTCGGCAGAAAAATCAATAATGCATACGTTCTCAATAGGCAGTGTTGCCATTCTGTTTCCCTATAAGTAACTGTCGAGTTAACAACCTGTATATATATATATATATATATATATATATATATATATATATATATATATATATATATATATATATATATATATATATATATATATATATATATATATATATATATATATATATATATTTTCAGCCCGATCCATTCATAAATAGAATTTTAAAAAATCAAAAACCTCAAAAATGCCGCCATTTTGACAGCTGTCAAAAATTCGGGTCATGCCTTGCAAAAAAATGTATTATCATCGGGACTGAACCTACATGCCAAATTTCAATCTCCTACAATAAAAGAAAGTGGTTTTAATTTAGCTTACAAGATTTGCCCCGAACAAACATACATACATACATAGATAGTTACATACAAAGCAAGTTAAATAAAAGCTTATAAAACTAGCCTCCAATGAGGAAACTAAATAAAAAAATGGTCACTTGGCATTAGCAAGCCTCCAAATAAGTAGTCTTCATCGTTTTGAAAAGCTCTAAAGTGTGAATATACTTTTGAATTGAACATTAATTTTGAATTGAATTGAAAATTAAACAGACTATATTTTGAATTATTTCCATAACTATTTGTGCAACCAGCAGCCGCACATCCCGGAAAACCTTTTCCCATTCCATCAATAAAAATAAAATTGAACTAAAAGCACAAATACCTATGGATAAATATAAGAAAAAAAATCGAATTAAAATCTTCCGTAATACGGCCCTACGCGCCACCGGTGGAGGCTATGCATCGACTGAATGAGGCTGACTGTCGGTCGCTTAATTCATTTAGCGCATCGTCGGAGTAGGGCGTTTTAAATTCGAGCGTGGGAAAAATTGGCGAGTGTCCAAGCTATATTATTCTGTAAGCTGTGGTTTTACATACAAGGTGGCACATTGTTTTGAAAAAGTACACTGCTATTTTCAGCGATATTTTCACTGAAATTGAAAACTATATTCGATACCAATTAAACTTTTAATTACATAATCGAGGGCGCGATTTTTAAATTCATTGTTGCCAACCATGAACAAAATCGGCGCCGAGCTGACTAACTGAAAAATAAATTTCCCGCTAGGGATGCAGGTGGTAGCTAGACGTAAAAAATGTCAAGTTATTATTAGTTTGACATTGACATTTTAGTTTTGTATTACGAGTTTATGGTTTAAATGAGTTGTGTTGATCCTTTAAGCTTAATTTTTTTTACTAGCACACCTTGCACTTTTTTAGTGCGAAGTGTACAAGATAGCTGAATAGCCGTAAAAAACTCATCGCAACTTGTTAGAATAGTTTGAATGGCCCTTTATGTCCCTTAAGTGCTGTTAAGGAGGTGAGTTTTTAATGTATTTATTTATTTATCGTATGGCTCGTACACATGGAATAAAAACAATACAATGTATATAAATATAAAACAAAACATCAGAAAAGTACAAATACAACAATATAAGGACGAACAGAATGTAAAAAAGTATAACAAAGTGAACCAAACCAAACCAAACCAAACAAACCTGCTGGTTTCGATCTACCACGTCGTGTCTGGAAAACCGTTAAGAGGATACGTTCAAACCACGGAATATGTAGAGATTCGCTTCATAAATGGAAAAAGATCGCTGATCCATTGTGCAGCTGCGGCAGGGGGAACCAGACCATCCGCCACATAGTGCAGGATTGCGAGATGACGGCTTATCGCACTGGTATAGTAAATGACTTCCTTGATCTTCCTCAGACAGCAGTCGACTGGATTGATTCTATGAGTGTAAATATTTGATATACATACTTTTTTTTAATGTAAATAATAACTGTTAATATATTTATAATTAATTTATTTTTGTTTCCTAAAATATTTTGATTAAAAGAAAATAATCTAAAAAAAGTAGGAAAAAGTCTAAAGGTAAGTATGATCACCAGGTGTGACATGTTGCTATGACTATATATTTGACAGTAAATCTTTCATCAAATATTTAATACTTCCATTTAAAATTTCGACTTTTTTTACATTTTTTTCATCATGTCACGTCATTTGAAGAACCTCTCCTCTGCCCTCTACAGGAGTCGCTCTCTCAGCACCAAACTGGAACAAAGACTGACCGAAGACATCCAAGAACTGGAAGAAGACGACAAACCTATCGCCCCGGCGATCAGGTACAACGTTTGCCGCGACAAAACTTCCGCCGGTCACGAAAAATACCAGTTCCCCAAATCGCAAGAATCCGAAGAGCAGAGGAAGATGGAAACGCAACAGATGCAAATGAACAATCCGGATCAAATCAACGTCGATAATATTATAAATAATTCCAAGCACTTAATACCGACGAGTAACTACAGGCAGTTTGAGGCTTCTTCGACGTACAAGAATTTGGTTTTGCCTTTGAAGTCGTCAAAACTGGCAGATCCATTTCCGACGCCCGTGAAAATGATGCGCAGTCACACGGTTTCTGATCAAGAAAAGGCGGAGCAAATGTTGGCGGAACGTAGAATTCCTAGGAACATCACCAGGAAGAAGTATTAGGTCTTTGTGAATGTTTTTTTGCGTTATACAAAATTGTTTTATATGTATTAAAAGTATTGGTTATTTGGAAATTTAGTTTTATTAGCTTTAAACATTGGAATATTTGCAAAATAAAAAAAAACACTAGTTCAAATCACTAGTCACCACAATACACAAAAACACTTTACTTTGGCTACTTACCCTAACCATGTTAGCATCATCAGCATATCATAATTCAAACTTAGTTTTTCATCAGTATTTGGTAGTAAATCTGTCATCAATATTTAATGCTTACTCATAAAATTTCGACATTTCTTTTATCATATCGCGTTATTTGAAGAACCTCTCCTCTGCCCTCTACAGGAGTCGCTCTCTCAGCACCAAACTGGAACAAAAACTCACCGAAGACACCCAAGAACTGGAAGAAGACGACAAGCCTATCGCCCCCGCGATCAGATACAACGTTTGCCGCGACAAAACTTCCGCCGGCCGCGAAAAGTACCAGTTCCCGAAATCGCAAGAATCCGAAGAGCAGAAGAAGATGGAAGCGCAGCAGATGCAGTTGGCCACTCAGGATCAAGTCAACGTCGAGAATATTATAGATAATTCCAAGCACTTGATACCGACGAGTAATTACAGGCAGTTTAAGGCTTCTTCGACGTACAAGAATTTGGTTTTGCCTTTGAAGTCGTCAAAACTGGCAGATGACGCCCGTGAAAATGATGCGCAGTCACACGGTTTCTGATCAGGAGAAGGCGGAGCAAATGTTGGCGGAACGTAGAATTCCTAGGAACATCACCAGGAAGAAGTATTAAGTCTTTGTGAAGGTTTTGTGAGATATACAAAATTGTTTTATATGTATTAAAGGTACTGATTATTTGGAAATTTAGTTTTATTAGCTTTAAGCATTGGAATACTTGCAAAATAAAACACTAGTTTACCACAATACTACAAAATTTTTATACTGTGAACGGTGAACACGCGTTATGCTAGCCATGATCATCAAAACAAATTAGGCAAAGAAAATAAGGTCCTCTTACTCTGGGTACCAGCCCACCAAAGGATACAAGATCATATTGAAAAAGGAAACGATCTAAGTAGAAAAAGAGCAAGCATTCTACTAACTGAACCAGAACCGTTCTGTTTCGCGTAACTTGGAATGGGAATCATCCAACAGTCTAAGACACTCGAAGAAACTTCGCAGAACTTTGGACCGAGAAAAATCGAAGATTTTTCTTGATTTAAGTAATTCTAAATCGAAGATTTTTCTTGATTTAAGTAAGAACAATCTTCGGATTGTCACGGGTCTCCTCAACGAACATCTCAGTAGATTGAAGCTAAGAAACAACAACGAACGCAGATTATGTAGAGAAAAATGGGGAAACATCAGAACACCTCATAACTGAGTGCGCCGAGACGACAACCATTCGTGCCATGAACTTTAGTCGATAGATATTGGAGCTGGATAATTAAAATTAACTTAAACCTCTGTATTAATTAAACCTCTGTAAAACCGTGTCAAATACGGGCTGTATGATGAGTTATAACTCAAAAAAGAAGGACACAATAGATCTATAAGGTCTCGGTATTAAGTTTTTCCCTCCTATACAATTTACAATCCTCCTATACAATCAGAAGATGATTAAAGCTTAGTTTTTCATCAGTACAAATCTATCATCAATATATTTTTAATACTGACATATAAAATTTCGACATTTCGTTTATCTTGTCGCATCATTTAAAGAACCTCTCTATACAGATATTATTATTATCTAGTTAATGTAGCATTTGTTTTTCAGGTTTTGACTAGTTTGACTAATAAGATGAAGGAATGCGACGATCGTTTTAAGTTTATGTATCAAAATTCTTATTTTGGTGGCAGCTTTTACGATAAGCTCAAAATATCAGATCCTAACGAGTACGATATAGATTTGATCTTCAAGATACCTGTAAGTTGATATTCTATTTGTGTGCCTTTTAAATTTTTGACTATGATATAAACTTATGAACAATAAATTTTAGAAAAAAATTTTAAGAACAAGCTTTTATTTAAATACACTAAAAAGAAAAAAATAAACTTTTTTTTTAAAACTTTTATTATGAACTTATAACGTCATTACACAATTTTATATTATATAAAAGCTTGTCGCAAGATTTGAGTGTACAGTTACACTTACCTTTATCTTGTAATTCCTGGTCTAGTGGTCTATCATAACACAAACTTTGAAAATGAGACAGGGTAGACACAGGTTTTAGTTAATTTACTTGTTTATCGATGTAGAGAAATCTCGCGACAAGCTTTTATATAATACTAGCGGGTACCAGCGACTTCGTTCGCGTCGAATTAATCATTTGTAATGGTGATGATAAAGCAAAGCAAGAATTTCCATTAACATACAAACTGGATAAAATTTTCTCACATTTATGTCAGCATGAGTAAAAACAATATGGCAATATTATTATATAACTTGGTAATATTTGAGGGGTAGTTTTATCTCGTTGGAATTTGACTTTCGAAAAATCCGTTTGCCAAAAATAAGCTTTTTACGTCAAGCAGTTTAAGCAGAATCGTGGTTAAGAAATTACCCAAATTTTTGGAAGACCCTGTAATTTTTTTTTAAAACAAATTAAAAAAAAATATATAAAAAAAATAATATGAATATAATATATATGAATATAAATAAAATATTTAAATTCAAAATATATAAAAAAAAACAAATAAATTATGCTTGTCCAAGCGTTTTCCCGAAAGACTAACCGTTTTTTAAATAACAAATACTGTAATATTTGAGGGGCGTTTTCACCCTCTTGGAATTTGAGATTTGAGAAACCCCTCCTTATCGAACCTCTACACCCCACAGTCAATCCGTTTGCCAAAAATCAGCTTTAAACATCAAGCAGTTTAAACAGAATCGTGATTACTCAATGGTCATATTTTATGAAACACCCTGTATAAATTTATAAAAAAATCTTAAAATATGTAAAACAACAAAATAAAATATACGTGTTTAAGAGTTTTTCCGAAAAACTTACCGGTTTTTAAATAAAAAATATTTTAGTATTTGAGGGGTAGGTTCACCCCCTTAGAATTCGAGTTTCGAAAAATCCCTTCTTATCGAACCTTTACACCGTCCCTAAAGTCAATCTGTTTTCCAAAAATCAGCTTTTTACGTCAAGCGCTTTAAGCAGGATCGTGATTAATCAATGACCAGATTTTTCGAAACACCCTGTATACATTTTTAAAAAATCTTAAAATATGTAAAAAAATAAAATAAAATATACGTGTTTAAGCGTTTTTTCGGAAACTGGACCGTTTTTTAAATAAAAAATATTGTAATATTTGCGGGGTGGTTTCACCCTCTTGGAACTGGAATTTCGAAAAATCCCTTCTTATCGAACCTGTACACCCTAGAATCAACCTGTATGCCAAAATTGAGTTTCTTACGGTGAGTGGTTTGAGCAGGATCGTGATTAATCAGTATGTCAGTCACTTAAGGATTTTATATATTAGTATTGATAAAATTGTGTAATGACGTTATAAGTTCATAATAAAAGTTTTAAAGAAAAAGTATATTTTTTTCTTTTTAGTATATTTAAATAAACGCTTGTTCTTAAAATTTTTTTTTTCTAAAATTTATTTTCTACTTTTTAGTTATGCTGGTTTCTTCTTACTGGTAATTTTTTTCTTAAATAGCTTCCTATGGGCATTCTAATAATATGTATATCGATTTTCATTAAAAAGGAGAGCTTAAAAAAACGACAGCTGTCAAATTTGACAGTTCAAATGTGAGACAAGTAAAATGAAAACCGGCTATGGGGTAGGGGGCATCCAATATATCGATTTTTATCAAAATCGGATGACTTTGAAATTTTGACATGTCATTAAACTGTCATTTTTTCAAGATGGCCGCCCATATTTTTTTTTTCATATGTATATACCCACAATATACCTATATATATAATTTCAGCCCGATCCATTCATACATAGAATTTTAAAAAATCAAAAACCTCAAAAATGCCGCCATTTTGATAGCTGTCAAAAATTCGGTTCATGCCTTGCAAAAAAATGTATTATCATCGGGACTGAACCTACATGCCAAATTTCAATTTCCTACAATAAAAGGAAATGGTTCTAATTTAGCTTACAAGATTTGCCCCGAACAAACATACATACATAGATAGTTACATACCTACAAAGCAAGTTAAATAAAAGCTTATAAAAATACAAATCTATAAAAAAAATCAAATAAAGCGGTTTTAAAATGGATGACATAATATAGCGTCTATCTTTATTGTACTTTTTACATAGATATATATTTTTTTAAATTCCTGGGAAAAAATTATGATAAAAAAAAAAAAGAAATGTTTTACCAGATAGTGTCGGATTCCTACCGACTAAAAAACCCCCTTCACCAGCAGGCCTCACCATCTGCAACGGAATCCGCTCACGCATTGCTTCATTACAGTGGCGTTCTTAGACATTATGTCTCACGTTCAGAAGTTTTTGTCATTATAATATATTTCATAAGTCCCACTGCATTTTGCCATTCTTTTTCACTTCCTACCAGACATTTTACCACTTCTGCCACACAAAACTTATTTCCCGTCCTATTATAGAACTCCTCCCTTTGTGTCTGCCATCTACAACAATTGAAAAGAGTGTGTTCGGCGTCGTCTTCAGCTTGACAGTAATCGCAGTCCGAAGTGTCGATTTTCTTTCTAATGGCAGATATTTTTTAAAATAGCCGTGTCCAGATAATATCTGGGTGATATAGTAATCGACTTCACCATATGGTCGCGTTATCCATTTATGCAGATTGGGAATGAGTGTAAATGTCCACCTTCCATGCTTTCCGCCCGTCCATTTTTCCTGCCATTTTTCCATGAGTTGCGCTCTGGCTTCGTTTTTTATCGAACCATTGTAGACCTCATACCTCTCTTGTATCAGGAGATCAATCGGTGGAATTCCGGCAATGACACCAACGCCCTCCCCTGATATAGTTCGGTAGGCGCTGCAAACCCTAATGCACAAAGACCTCTGTAATCGCCTTAGTTTCACCAGCCTATTCTGACATTTAGTAGCTGTATGCCATGCCGGCGCTGCATACAATATTTGTGAGTGTATAACACTTGCTAAAATGCGCCTTCTAGACGCTCTGGGACCTCTTATTTTCGGCATTAAATTTGACAATGCAGCTACGGTTTTCTCCGCTTTAACTACTAACCTACTTATGTGTTCTCCAAAAGTCAGCTTTGTGTCTAGCCACACACCCAAATATTTTATTGCTTTGGAGGGTGCAATATCTATTCCTAAAACGTTGAAGAAAATTGGGGCAATTTTTCTTTTTGTTGTAAGTAGAACAGCTTCTGTCTTGTGTGGTGCTAACTGAAGATCATGTTCTTTCATCCATCTTACTACTCTCGCTATGCCAGCATTTCCCAAATTTATCAGGATCTCTTCATTTTCACCTACAATGACCATAGCAATATCGTCTGCGAAGCCAATCAAAGTTAAGCACCACCTTAAGTATATCCAGCTCCAACAAACCGTCATACAACACATTCCATAGGGTTGGCCCCAGGACGGATCCCTGTGGTACACAACCATAAATGTCAACTTTTTGTTTTTTCCCATCAGCTTGGCATTATCTTTCTTCCGTTAAGATAGGAAACAATCGTAGACCACAATACTTTGTCAATATTTCTCTTTTTAGATTTCTCAGTATCTTTTCCCAAGAAGCGCTGTTAAAAGCATTTTTAACGTCTAACGTAATTACGGCGCAAAATCTTCTATTTATATGAGAAAATGCTGCTGCATTCTTGGCTAATTGAATTACTTTTGTAATTGCGTCTGTGGTTTGCTTTCCTTTTTGAAAGCCATATTGTTTAGTTGAGAGACCACCTGTCCGTTTCAGCTCATTATTTAATCTCCCAAGTATGAGATGTTCATATAATTTACCTTCCACATCTAAAAGGCTTATTGGTCTATATGAGTTACCATTTCCATTTTTACTGAGAAGGACGAGTTTTGCCTGTTTCCATTCCTGCGGAAACTTAGTCAAGCGTACTAGGTTGTTGTAGACCTGCAGTACATACCCGCTTTTACGTTATTACGTGTTTAAGTACTTCTGGAGGAATATTTCCTGGTCCTGGTGTTTCTACCATTTTTTAATTTCTTATTTTTTTTTTTTTTTTTTTTTTTTTTTTATTTCTCAGTGTACTTCGTTTCGGTTACGTATTGCCGCTAATTAGGAATACAGTAGGTCATTATAAGATTTTTTAAAAAATAGTAGTGGTGACAATATTGAGTGGCGTTATTTAACATCTTTAGTGGACCTTCAACTTACTGAAGGACTACACGCTGGTAATAAATTAAAAAAGACATATAAAGTGGACCAGAGAAAAAATGAAGGTCAAAGTGGCTGCTCAAACCATGAGCAAAAGTGTAGCAGATGCTTTGACTTATTTAAACATGGACCTCAAACACCCAGATTTTCTAAATTCACAGGCTACCTCAGAATTTATAATAAACGTCAATGATGTTTTTGACATCTTCAATTCGAGACATAAATTTACTAAATACAAATACAAAGCGGCAATTTTCTCAGGAAACGAAGACTTGATCTTTAGTCGTTTGGAATCAATAAAAGTCTATATCTTGGGTTTAACATATGGGGGAAAATCTGTCTTAATGTCAGGACGAAAAACTGGCTTCCTTGGCTTCTTAATAAACATTGAATCCGTTACCCAATTATACCATATATATTTGAAATCAATGACCCCATTACAATTTTTGTCGACTTATAAACTTTCGCAGGATCATTTGGAGATTTTTTGGAGTGCAATTAGGAGTAGGGGCGGACATAATAATAACCCTACCGCAAAACAATTCGAAAATTCGTATAAAAGGTTATTAGTTCATGTTGAGGTTAAGGGGGCAGATACTGGG